AAAAAATGAAACGTAGGGACGTTTTCCACAAGACCCATCATAGGTAGGGACGTTTTGCGCCAATTACCCTTTTATTTAACGGTGGATTCTAACGGGAGTTGGACGGAAGGACGTTTTGCGCAAGAAAATGCAAAGGTAGGGACGTTCTGCACCAAAAAATTAAACGTAGGGACGTTTTCCACACAACCCGCCATAGGTAGGGACGTTTTGCGCCAATAACCCTTAATTTGGTTTGCAACTTCCAAAGTTTTTTGTTTGCACAAGATTTAGCCCCGTTTGACATTTGTTCTTTCGAAATACATTTTTTTAAAACTCATTTTCAACCTTACAATTTTTAATAAAATAATATTTTTCATCACATCAATCACTTTTCTTTCTTTTTTAATCACATATTTCTCATCATATCATTATTTTAAATATATTTTTTCCTCAATAATATCAATCAAACACCACCTTAATATTAATTATTTAGTATAAATCATAATTCAAAATATTATTTAGCCTCTGTTTGAGCTACATTAAAATTTTCATTCTCATTATTCTACTCATTTTCAATTATACATTTTTCAATAAAATAATATTTTACATCACATCAATAACTTTTCATTATTTTTCAACCACACATTCTCCATCAATCTAGTATTCCAAAATACATTATTTCAAAATAATGTGGCTCAATCACACCATAATTTATAAAACTTGTTTCAAATACTAAAATATCTAAGTTTGGGTCATCAAAAAAGTGATAAACTTTTAATTAAAAGGGTGTTTGTTTTTTATTCTCAAATTTTACAGTAAATCAATTCTCATTTTCAACCACACATTCTTCAATAAAATAATATTTTCCATCACATCAATAATTTTTTTTTCTTTTCAACCACACATTTCCCATCGTATTACTATTCAAAAATCAATTCTTCCCCCAAAAATCCCTACCAAACAAACACTAAAAACGGAAAGCTCTACCATTGTTAATTTTTCTTGTAGCCCACCTTCTTTCCTTTCTCTAGTTACCGTTTACATAATGAATTTTATCTATACTTAGTACATTTTGTAGTATGATATTCTACATCCTAAGTCTTTCAATTCCATCGTCTGACTTATATTCTTCATCTAATATATATATTGAATAGTATTAGGAATTTGGGTCGATACTTCCACATATTAGGGGATCTTTTCGACTCTTACTCTCCCACTACAATTGAGATTTTTCCTTCTGCTAATTCGAAAGTATCGGCAGTTGAACTTTCATCCAAGTTTTGAATTACTAAATTGATCACTAACATGTCAATAAGGCCATGAGTAGGCTTTGAAAAATCTTCATTCCCATTGGAGAAACCATAGAATATCCAAGATTGCAAAGCATGTGTGAGGACTTTTCTGTAAAAATCCAAAGTTCGCATGAAAAATAAAAATTGGTGGATGCAATTGAATTTGGATAGCGTGGCTCAATCCTCCTGTGGCATGCATCCCATGTAGGCACAACAGGGCCCACTGCTTACCAGTTGCCTTACAATCACAAGTTTATAGAATTTCATTATATTCTCTTCTCTGCAACAAGATGACAGTTACCGCCGACGGACGAATAGCGCTATCAGCCGCCGGCCAATTGCATGGCATTGCCGGATTGTCGAGAAGAAACGGGAGGCTCGTGAAGTTTGGGAATGGAGAGTTCATGGGGGAGAAACTTAAGTCAACACAATTTCAGCAGAGGACTAAGCACAATGGTAATACGAATCCAATCTGCATGTCACTTACAGCAGGTTTTGCAGGTGAGGCTAAGGTGAGTTCTAATTAATTCAAGAAATAGAGGGCCACCGCCCCCCCCCCCCCCCCNAAAAAAAAGGGGGCCCCCCCCCCCCCCCCCCCCCCCCCCCCCCCAAATTCCACGCACCCATATACAATCCAGGATATTTTTCACTACAAGATTTAATGTTACCTTAAAGAACTCTATTACCCTGTACAGTTGAGGGACCTGGAGATGGAGAAAAGGGATGCGAGAACTGTTGTAGCCATTATACTAGGAGGCGGAGCTGGCACTCGTCTATTTCCGCTGACTAAGCGCCGTGCCAAGCCTGCTGTAAGTCTTCATACCTGCAGTGAACAGACATTAATAAATGTTCCAGTTGAACAACGCCCCAATTTTAGTCAAAGATTCATGCTATTCTTAATATTTCAGGTTTCCATTGGAGGATCATATAGGCTGATTGATGTGCCTATGAGCAACTGTATCAACAGTGGGATCAACAAAGTTTATATACTCACTCAATTCAACTCAACATCACTCAACAGGCATATTGCACATGCTTACAACTTTGGAAGTGGAATCACATTTGGAGATGGCTATGTTGAGGTAACCATCAAGTTTATACTTCTGCCCTGGTTAATATTACTACTACCCTGCAAACTGATACCAAGGGAAGTGCGTGTAAATTTTGTCAATCAACTTGTGTTCACCTGCAAATTGATCGCTTCCAATGACAGGTCTTAGCTGCCACTCAAACTCCAGGAGAGTTTGGTAAAAAATGGTTTCAGGGTACTGCAGACGCTGTGAGGCAGTTCCACTGGCTTTTTGAGGTATTGAGTTCTAGTTCTATTACATGAAATGCATGCAGAGCCATTTCATTGTTTGCTCCCAAATTGTGTAGAAAAGAGCATAGTTTGCACCTGAACTTCAATTTGCATCAATGGTATTCATCGACATCCTAGTTTCTCCATCCTAGCTTCTCTAATACATTCTACCTTCAAGAAACATGTATGGAAGAATATTCATGATGGAAATCTCAATATTCAAGAGAAAAATCAGCATACATTTAAGAAACATATCCATCATAAAAGTAATCAGGATGAAGATCAGTTTTAAAAACACTACAGAAGAGAGGTATATAAACTCAATAGCTCAGATTTCTCTGGAACTCAAATGGAATGCCATAATTCTTCTCACTGCAAGTATGGCTTGTAAAGTTATGATAAACTTAGCATTTTACACATCAAACAGTTCAATCTGTGAACAATATCAGTTCCAAAACAAAAAAGCCAGGCTTAAGTGAAAATATACCAACAAGAAAGGAAAGTATTTCGCCAGTATCCAGAAAAAATTCCCATAAATTCTTTACGTAACTAGAAGAGATTTGACTAAGTTCTTGATGATTGAATTTTGTAATATATTACCATTTCTTGAATACCGAACTCACCTTGTTCTACTCCTTAAATCTATTACTCAATCATTAATACGGTGAAACCATGAACCTGAGGTCTTATATATGATACCATTTCCTGCCTCGTAGGATCCGAGAAGTAAGGATATCGAAGACGTGCTCATTCTATCTGGAGATCACTTGTATAGGATGGACTATATGGACTTTGTTCAGGTACGAAAAATCTTAAATACATCTTGCACTGTTTTTTTTCATGGTATTACATAAGATTAATGTTCTCCTTTCTGCAGAATCATCGGCAAAGTGGTGCAGATATTACTCTATCATCTTTACCAATAGATGGCAGGTAGATAATTCGTTCAATCTCCAACAACATAATAGAAGTAGCATTATTATTAATTACGAGTTTAAGCAAACTCGTCATGAGAAAGGAAAGGAAATGACACTTCTAACCTAAATGGCTGGAAGTTACACAATAACTTCCACATCGGCAACATCAGTTTTTATATCTCATCGTGCATACTAAGACAGGATAATACAAGAACATAACAATTACATGGCAGAAGCTTATTGTAGGAGGTCAGCTGCCTTCAAAAGGTGGTGCCATGATGCTAAAATAAGGACCATAAGCAATAACCAAATATCAGAATAGGAAAATTCTTTTTCACATGTTCCTCAACGTTTTCGATATTGATATATAATCTTTGTTGCCCATCAAAGTTTTTGAAGTTCGCTGCAGGCATACAAATTAACATTTTCAGATAATTTATCTGTTTTAGCCGTGCCTCAGATTTTGGTTTGATGAAGATTGATAATAAAGGAAGAGTCCTTTCATTCAGTGAAAAGCCTAAAGGAGATGATTTGAAGGCAATGGTAATTGTCAAAGTTCTAAATTCTGATAATCTCTTGGACAGTGCCATTGAAATTACTAAAGGCTGCAATTAATATATATTTCAGAAAGTAGATACAACTGTTTTGGGACTGTCAAGAGACGAAGCAGAAAAGAAACCTTATATTGCTTCAATGGGAGTTTATGTCTTCAAGAAGGAAATACTTCTGAATCTTCTAAGGTAACAAAAAGGTCCTTGCAAGTGGTAAGGCAAGACTGGTTGTGCCTCCCAACCACTTCTAGCATATAAAAGCACAGTGCAGCATGAAGTTTCAGAAAATACCTCTAAATCTGAAATTTTGCAAAAGAACAAATCAAGCAATTGGGGTGGTTCCACCATCACTTTTCCATGACAGCCAACGTAATTTTAAGCTTTATCAAACATGAAGAATTGAAGTGCACTTTGTTTTTTGTTGATTCAGATGGCGTTTCCCAACTGCAAATGATTTTGGGTCAGAAATTATCCCTGCCTCAGCCAAAGAATTCTACATTAAGGTCTCTTCAACATTTGCTTTGGATTCAAAGCTCATGATGTTCCGTTTTTCTTATTTTTATACAGCTGAACACATTTCTTCTATCGATCGTTAGATACATATTTTGCACAATAATTCAAGATGCCATCTTCTATATGCTGGAATTAGAGTGTTCCAATGCCCTCCCTTAAACTGCACTTATCACCCATACTACCAGGCATTTATACTAGATAATAGCTTGTTATTCAAGATTTTTTAATCCCGATAAAGCACGATTTAATATAAATCCTCACTATGTGAAAATTGCAGAGTTTATATCAACTTATTTAGACATTTTTTGGAGTTTGCAAAGATGTAGGTAGATTGTTTTAATATTGTTCAACTCAACCCTTGTACCTTTGTATCCATGGCAAATTTGTTCTCAAATCTGAGTAATTCTGCAGGCTTATCTATTCAATGATTACTGGGAAGACATCGGTACAATTCGATCATTTTTTGAAGCAAACCTATCCCTTACTGAACATGTAAGTATCATATATACAAATAACTCTAATATGATTTCAATCATCTAGCAACTACATGAGGCTTATAGCTCAATATTCTTTACAGACAGAACTGACTTTGTTCAATCGTCTTTTATTTACTTTTGTTATTTTAGCCACCAAAATTCAGTTTCTATGATGCAACAAAGCCAATCTACACATCAAGAAGAAACCTACCACCATCAAATATTGATAACAGCAAGGTTATTAACTCTCGATTCACTTTTAGTTTCTTCAAGACAAGGATGTCCGTTCAAGCAGTCTGCAGTACTTTCAATACTCGTACATTAGATACTTTTCTCATGCACTGTGTAATGAAGGACATTCTTTTGCAGATTGTGGGTTCAATTGTATCACACGGTAGTTTCTTGACGAACTGCTTCGTGGAGCACAGTGTTGTTGGTATCCGGTCTCGTATAAACAGCAATGTTCATCTAAAGGTTTGTTTTTTATTTAATTTTCTGTTTCGAACATTTTTTGCAATTTCTCAGCTCTTGCTATAATTACTTGCACACCGGTATTCTAAGATTTAAATTCAAGAAAAAACCTACCATTTTATGGAATTCTTGAGTCCTCACTTAAAAGAGTGTCACCATTCAAGTACAGTTGACCTCCATTGTTAACAAAACTAACCATCGTGCACTGGACTTCCATTGAATCTTTAATATACTTATTACACTACATATTCATTTAAGTGCAGGACACATTAATGCTTGGAGCTGACTTCTATGAAACTGATGCCGAAATAGCATCATTCTTAGCAGAGGGAAAGGTTCCCACAGGGATTGGGGAAAATACAAGGATCAAGTACATTCCAGCCTCACTAAGAAATAATATCGTTTCTAATCTTTTTCTCATCTTTTCACCTGACTCCATCTACATTATGCAGAGAATGTATTATTGACAAGAATGCAAGAATCGGTAAAAACGTTGTCATCGCAAATTCAGAGGTATTTTTCTCCAAATAATAGTCTCCAAGGGCAATTATCAGAAACTAGTATTCTTGCTAAAACTGTTGGGATTACTAGTGCTTTATCCTCTTACAAAAATTGGTATTGAGCCTTTATCAGTTTCGTGTTCAAAGGAAAAAGCTAATAGTTCAAAGCTCGGGACATTGGTTTAACTCATTCTGTGTAATGACTTTCAGGGCGTACAAGAGGCTGATAGATCTTCAGAGGGGTTTTACATCAGATCAGGTGTTACAGTAATATTGAGAAACTCTACAATTAAAGATGGAACTGTTATATAACATTTTAATTTTGTCCCTCTTCAGCGGGATATCATGAACATCAAACTATCGTGTATCATGAATTTTGTATAAATGACACCGACAGTGCAGAAGTTCGAAATAATATTCTTGTTATTCGTGAAATCCGATACAGGTCATACATTTAATGTGCTTCAAAATCAAGCAAATAAACTAGATCATTAGGTTCATAATTCAGTTATATTAGCTCTTCTCATATAAATCTAGATCTGCTAAGAACAATGATAGAAGAGATAAAAACAACTGGAAGTGAAGCATAACGAAATAACTAAATATAGTACAGAGTGAGCAAAAGATAATTTTCATTTACAACAATAACTCTTTGCAATGAAACGTCAATTCATTTTCAAATCTCTGCAATACAAAACGTTCTTCTGATGTTATAATGCTGGTAACAAAACATTTACTATCTGAGAAAGGCTTCCTACCTGTTCTTCCAGCTAGATGAAGATAGTTCACTGCATCTTTTGAAAGATCAAAGTTGTATATATGAGTCGCATCTGGCAGGTCAACACCTCTAGCTGCTATATCTATTGCAACTAGAAGATAGCCTCCTCCTAGTTTAACATTCTATATGAAAGAAAAAGATAAATCAGACAGCGAGGAAACTCATGCTGGCATATTGCAACACGGACTGCTTGATAATTCCAGTCACAAACTTTACTTTATCAAGGATGCAGAGGAGAAATTCATTGAAGTCCATTAAGGTTCTTACAGCTGAGGATGCTGCTCGTTCATTGAAATTCATGTTTTCCTCCAGTAAAATTATTTCCGAGCATTCAACATATGAAGTCTCCAAAAACTCAACTAGAGGAGTCGTGGGTGAAGGATTTCCAGCATTCTTTGACTTCTCAGACTGCATATCAAGTGAAAGATAATGTTAATATGCCAAAATGCCAAATTCAATTACAGGTTGAAAATCAAACATTACATGTTTTCTGAATTTGAAGATCAGTCTAGAGATTCTAAACAGATTTGTGAATCTAATTCAATGTAGAAGAGCATGATCAATTTTGTGATAAATCTGAACCTGGATTACCCCAAAAACGATACTTTTAGTGCATGACTTCTAGTAGAGATTGCACAAGATTGATAGAAAAATTAACAGATCATACAGTACAAGAAGTTTAATAAAAGTAAAACTCAAAAATGTGGATCAGAGTTCAATAAGTGCGTACTAGGATAAGTAATTTTAGACTGCAACATGGAGGCCAGTGATCAAATATCTGTATAAACCTACTAATGTCAAGAAACTTGGTATAGGTGCCACTTTTCAGCCTCACATATGAATATTATTTGGCCCAAATTACCAGAAAGCATAGTTTTTTCAACATCCCAGAACAGCAAGAGCATCTTACTATCCGAATTGATGGTTAATTCATGATACTTCTCCACCATATCATGCATGTGGACCATTGATTCTACGATGATAAGTAAATAGTAGGAGTTTTATCATTGCTGCATGGCAGGCAGTGGCATCTAACTAGTAACTATCTCCAGAGTTGATGCATACACTTCAGACCTACTTTTCCATAGTGGACCATTAGTATAGTTATTTCAATTTTCCCAACATAGCTATTCCGAAAATTAAAATGATGAGTGATGACAGTTCAATTAAGCAATTGGGGGTGATAAGGGGCACTAACTTGCTCACCAACAAACTATGGCAGATTTAGGTGTATCTGATTGCAATAACTGTAGCAATGCTGAATGCCTCTCTGTTTCACTACATACCAGACAACACAAAAGTCAAAAGAATTCATATTAATATAAATAGGCTAAAAAGAAGCAATAAAAAAAGGCTGCGCAGGGGAGTAAATAAAGAAGCCAACTTCACAGAAAAACTGAGGCAAAAATTAATACTAGATAGTGCATAAAAAAATCATTGTTTCCAACTTGCAAACAACAATGTCGATTTCCCGGAGTAATATCTTCTCACCACAAATCTGTGATACAGGCATGATGGCATAGGTTCAACTGGATTCACATGGACATGAACAAGAACATCAGCCTGTGATAATCAGTGGGGCAGCATAGACATCATAAAGTTACTATAGGATGACACAGATCCAGTGACAAATTACTCAGATAATAAACATATTAGCAAACCTTGGTCCATTTCTGCTGTTTACAGTCGTACAGAAATCGTCTGTGCTGGGGAATTGATGCACTAGCAAATATGGTTTGCTCGTATAGATTGACGAATAAGTGGTCAACAGCTTCCACAGAGAACTCACTTGTTTCGATGAGTTAAACATAAAATCAACCTAAACATTCAAAGAATATGTTATATTTGTTCCAATGGTCCACAAATGGCACTAAAGATAGGATGCTGCCGATAAAAGTCCAAATAAGCATAAAGAAATCATTGAAGCGTAAGAAGCAAGGGAACTCTTAAGAAGGATGCATGTTCGTGTCAAATACCAACACCCACTCTTGAACAGGTGACCTGCACCACTTTGTCTGCACGCAAAAATAAAAATTGAAAAACTCAAAATATCAGACACTACTGGAACTACAAGACTGGACTATGATGTACAACTGACTAGAGAGCTAATTCTTCCGAGATGAATATCAGGTTAAGTGTGCCAAGTAGCATTGTATTTCAAAAAGTAATCAAAACTTGATCTAAATTTCAGCACCACTTATATGTATAAATTCAACATCGCTCATATGTAAACATGCATCTTCCGTGAATGATATAGTAGACATCGGTATAGGGCACAATGTTAAAGAAAAAGAATGGGGATATCTATGAGTCTGTTTGGTTTCGTGTCCATGTCCTAAGTCCTTCTCTAAGCCAAAAACACATGAATGCCAATTCATCTATCTCAAAACTTCGTTATACACCATGTAACTTGTAAGTAAACCATTAGATTACAAAATTCGATGGAAATAATTTACACCCTTTCCATCAAAAGATTTCTGTTTTCAAGGACACGAGTACATCCAAAATTTTAATCAGCAGAGAGTATCAGTTTCTTTCAGAAGTGTGTAGCCTTGTTCTTACATTTTGGTGGTACAATAAGAGCATTTTGCCTGATATATGAGAACTTACAAATATTTATTTGGTACGTATATAATCTATGAAACAAAGGGAAAAGAGATTTGACGGGATCATCTTCATCACCTCATCTAACCAACACTTGCAAGGCATTCAACTTAAAAATTTGCTTGTCAAGCATTTGGGATAGACTCCCCAAGGTTGCAATCACAATTGCAGGGGGCTCCGCCTGTCAAAACAATGGCATATTACAGGTTCAGCTGGACCATCAACTCAGCAAGTGAGAAAAATGAAGTGAACAAGATGGTAAGTTGGAATATATTTAAGAGGAAATAACAGGCTCAACTTGTAGTTGGCAGAGCTTTGAATATTAGGAGGCTAGCGTTAGAGACAGGTCTAGTCCAATATATCATCCAAATAAATGTAAGACTCCAGCCTTCCCCACCCCCTAAGTCCAAGCTGAAAAGGAAAATCTTGTTTAAAAAAATACCAACTAAAAGGATCTCCCTCCCCACAACCCTATAGTACAATTATCAGCACTTCGGGAAGCAGTTCTAGTTTAATGTTAATAGGGAAAAATACCAGTCAGTTCTGTACCTTTAACCAACTCCTATGTCTTCTCAACGTTCCACCATCTAAAAGAGCCATGACAGTGCAAGAATTGAGGTCTGATTCAAGTTCTGAATAATTAGCAGCCAACATTCGTGCAAATTTTGTAACCTTTTTAACAAAAATAAATAAGATCAATTTCGTTTCCAACAACATTAGTTTCACTCAAATACATTTTATTTTAATAGGGAAGCAAGAATCAGTGTCTTACCTGAATGCCAAGCTCCTAGTGGGACCGAGAATATCAATAACAGATATGCCAGGGTCTTTCCTGAACCTGTCTGGAAAACACAAGAGGCACAAAAAGACAGTAACCATAACAGTTTTTTTTTTTTTTTGTCAAGGCTGTTCAAGAAGTGAACGGCCACAAAATTACATCCTAAACCAAACTACTTCCGGTGAAAAGTACTTCACTCTTGAGATTTGCTCATGCCTCTCATGTAACAAGCCATATTGCAATTGACTTTTTACTAGACACGAGATTTTGATCAATGCACATATTAGGACAAAAAATTTCTAAACAAGGTGGCTTAAATTAGCACATAATGAGCATGTTTGGCTTTGCTTGAAAGCCAAAAAAGAAAAAAAAAACTTCTTTTGCGCTTTTTTTGGTAGTGTACCTCTTTTAATACTGCCAAAATGGGACGGAAGAAGTTCATAAGTAAATCCAAATATGCTCCATATTGATGCCAGTGCTCATAATATGTAACTTATCCAACACTAAAAGTAGTAATATTTCAACTGTCATCATACAGGCTACAACCATATTTTCTTACTAAAGTCACAAGAATCCACCCAAAACTCAGCAAATATATGAATATAGTCAAATAAGAAAATGACACAGAGCATGTTTTCATTAAATACAACATAAATGGACATATCTACTCCAATGTGTGATGTACAAATCGGCAAATGTGTAATCGTAATTCCATGTATGTGCGAATGATCACCAAATACACTGTATTTAGATTACTCCAAAAGACCTAACTTTAATCATTTCACTCATTAAAAACAAAATATTCCTGATCAGAAGTCTAATCTTTAAGTAAAGCATGTATTATATTGACCTGAGCATGAAGCACACAGTCACGATCAGAAAATAAGACCGGCAGAGCTCCCTGCGGAACATCTGTCGGAACCCCATATTCAACCTCCTCCGCCCTGCAATTCAATAATTCCTTCATCTTCAGCACTTACTTTGATTTCTGTAGACCTTGTTTTTCTCACCATTAACATAGACAACAGATACCGAGCCCACTAGCGTTCTCTCAAGCTAATTTCAACACGCGTGGACAAATTGTCAATTGATAATATCTCGAATTTGAACATGGGAGAAACTTTATAGCACGAAACAAATATATTCGGATTCCGACAAAATATATGAAATAAATTACACGATAATGAACGATCGGTTAAGAGCCAAACTCAAGATCAAAATCACACGTCAAACATTAAAAAATCAAAGATTAATTAAAAGGGAGAGAATGTATTGCTTGCAGTTGATATATTTTGCATCCCCCTAACGATACAAATAGGATATTTATAGTGTTACATGTGAAATGGTGTCCATGGGATGAAAGTCACGTGACCTCATCTCCTTAACCGAGACTTCTCTCCTAGATATCAATTTTGACTCCATTAGCCTGTAGCGCATTAAATGGCCCCAAAAAGGGGTAGCCACCCTATAACCTATGCTGACAAGACTTTGACCTTTTTACTTATTACAAGAGTCCAATCAATCGTTTCAAAAGGATTTCATAAATTCAAGATTTTCAAATGTGGATCGTCACCAATCTTAATTGAGTTTTGGATTCTATTTCAATGAGCCTCACCACTTTGGTAAATGGGACTTTGGCAAGTCCATTCCATGAAACCGCTTCTATGCTTCGGATTTAGGGGACTTTGATAGGTTATATGCGCTTCACGTGGAATGCCACATGCCTTCGGCAAAAAGACCTCGATGGGTCGGCTGAGCCACGTGGCAATCTAGGTGGTGAAGCATAAGAATTTCATTTGTATGTTCTAGCAATGAACAAACCAATATTAAACATTATACATATCCAATATTTCAAAATTTCCACTTTTCCCATTATGATGCACACTAACCTAAGTCGCACAGGACAGCGAAAACGTTGCACTGAAAATTATAATTTATTTCACAAATTCAATAGTTAATTTTCAAATTTAGCATCCATTCAGACTAATCACTTGTTAAATTTTTATATCTACTGGATTAAAAGTTTGGGTGCAACTTTGACAATAAGGCCGTGTTTGATAGAAATTTTTGCTCATATTTGATAGCAAAATTTTCCCCGAAATTTTTTTCCACATTTCCTTATTTTCCAGCTTTTTGAGAAAAATGTATTCTTGTTGTTTTGGTTGGTATTGATTTTCCAGATTTTTTTTTTTCAATTCAAAAAAATTCTAGACACAATGATAAAAAAATTTATCACTTTTATTAACAATTTCCATACAAAACAAAGCCAAACGAATGGTAGTCGGTATAGTAATTTTTTTTTCCA